ACAATGCTCCATCACACGCGTCCAAGTACTCCACAGCGTGGCTGGCAAGAAAGGGTATAAAAGAAGAAAATCTAATGACATGGCCTCCTTGTTCACCTGATCTGAACCCCATTGAGAACCTGTGGTCCATCATCAAATGTGAGATTTACAAGGAGGGAAAACAGTACACCTCTCTGAACAGTGTCTGGGAGGCTGTGGTTGCTGCTGCACGCAATGTTGATGGTGAACAGATCAAAACACTGACAGAATCCATGGATGGCAGGCTTTTGAGTGTCCTTGCAAAGAAAGGTGGCTATATTGGTCACTGATTTGTTTTTGTTTTGTTTTTGAATGTCAGAAATGTATATTTGTGAATGTTGAGATGTTATATTGGTTTCACTGGTAATAATAAATAATTGAAATGGGTATATATTTGTTTTTTGTTAAGTTGCCTAATAATTATGCACAGTAATAGTCACCTGCACACACAGATATCCCCCTAACATAGCTATAACTAAAAACAAACTAAAAACTACTTCCAAAAATATTCAGCTTTGATATTAATGAGTTTTTTGGGTTCATTGAGAACATGGTTGTTGTTCAATAATAAAATTAATCCTCAAAAATACAACTTGCCTAATAATTCTGCACTCCCTGTAGAACGAAATAATATATATATATATATATATATATATCTATATACATAAATATATACGTATATATCACTATATATATATATATATAAACACAAAAAGAATTCAGCGCTAGTAATCACAAAATTAGTCAAGGTAGGCAGCAACCTAAATGAAGGAAAACCCCTCGGGTCCTTCGGTGGATAGATACAAAAAGATATGGAAGGGCTGCGCCAAATAAGGGTAGATATTCCAGTAAAGTATTGCTAGGGTGCCAATAGATGGTCTAGGATACTTGATAGAGTTCCTCTGTGGATGCGTCTGGTGTAGACCGTTCCGTATAAGTAAATACAAGAGAGGTAGAGGCGACTAATGGTATAGTATGAAAGTTCAGGGTGTGATAGGTAACAAAAAGTAAAGAACTCACATTCAGGAGAGCTATGGCCAGCTCTGGTGTGGATTGTGTACAGCGGTATAATCCCCGCTTATGGGATATGTAGGGAGGGGTCTCCGTCAGCACCGTCTGGTAGTCCAGAGCTCGAAAAAGAAAGACAGAAAGCAACAATAGTGCTCTCAATTTTGATGTGGTTCAATGTGCAGATAAGAAGAGGTAAAAAACTCACATTTGAGGGAGCTATGGCCAGCTCTGGTGTGGATAGCGTACAGCGGTATAATCCCCGCTTATAGGATATGTAGCGGCGATACGTCCGTCTCCAATATAGAAGAATAAAAAGCAGCAATAGTGCTCTCAATTGTGGTAGGTTAAGAGAGTAGTAGAGAAAATAAAATAATACTCACAAAGATAGAGCAGAGGTACTGCTCTATGGATAGGCGCCGGTGGTGTGATCCCCACCTAGGATTTCTTGGAGTACTGGAACTTTAAAATTGCCAATGGAAGTAAAAGTAACCATGAAAGGTTAAAATCCCAGGAATAGGTAAAAACAAAAGTTGTTTAAAGTGCATAAAGAGTGCAATAAAAAGAGGATTGGTACAATAAAGTAGCCAAAAAACTTTTATTGATCTAAAATACACAGTAAAATACAGAATTAATAACCATAAACGCGTTTCACCATAAGTGGCTTCTTCAGAATGGGATAAAAGTAGTAACCTGGCAGGGGTTGTTTAAATAGGGCTATGTTAATTTGAAAATTGCGCCAAAAGTGTAATTGGCCAATCAGAGACAATTTTTAAAATCACTTTTCAAAATTAGGATTCAAGAGTATGGGAGTGATGTTATAAAGGTGATGAGTCCATTTAAATTATTTAAATGTGAAAACTAGAGTGAGAAAGTTGTTTTTAAAGAGAAAGAAAGGAAGAAAAAAAAAAAAAAGTTGTTTGATTAAAGTTCAAAAAAAAAAAAGTTTGATTAAAGTTCATTAAAAGAACAAAAAAAAAGGGTTTGATTAAAGTTCATTAAAAGAACAAAAAAAAAAGGGTTTGATTAAAGTTCATTAAAAGAACAAAAAAAAAAAATAGATGGTTTAAAGGTACAGAGATACAGAGATATATGTAAATGGAGTATGCATGAAAAGGGGGTAATATAATTCCAAACATAATGATTTAAATAGGGGTTATATTATACCCCAGAGTAATAATACAGATGTTAAATGAAAATAATAGATAAAATAAAAATAAAATTAAATAAAAGATTACACAGAATACAAGATACATAAATGGAAAGGCATAGATGAAAAAATAAAACTTAAAAGATTATTATTATTATGAGGGTTGGTTAGGTCCAGACATAAAGAATAAAAGCATGTAGATAAGGGTTGTATATAGGAATTTAAATAAAATTAAACAGGTGCCCCTCAAAGCCAATTCCTTCGTCTCAGAAGGAATTGCTCCCAAATAGAAGATTTTAACAAACAATCAAATTATCTAAAAGAAAAATTTATTGAGAAAAATTACTCACCAACCCGCCTCAACACCATTATAAATACCATCACCAAAAAAGATAGAGCAGACCTCCTAACTTACAATACCCAACCCACCACCAACACCATGCCCCTTCCTGTTATTTTCAATTTTAATAACAAAAGTGGCCATGTCAAAAAAATTATCAAAAAACATTGGCACCTCTTAAAAGAAGATGAAATACTTAAAAATATTATACCTGACAAGCCTAATGTTGTCTTTAGAGGTGCCCCAAACTTCAAATCCATTTTAACCACCAATTTTACAAAAGAAACCAAACCTACTTTTAATTCTTTTATGCCCAATGCCAGTGGCTTTTATAAATGTAAAAGATGCATTGTATGCAAAAACACAGACCCCTCCGTCCCTTCCAAAACCACCAGTTTTAAATCTAATATCACCAACAAAACCTATAAAATTAAAGATTTTATCAGTTGCGATACCAAAAATGTCATCTACTTGTTGGAGTGCCCTTGTGGTCTCCAGTATGTAGGGATGACCACAAGAAGTCTTAAAGTGAGACTGAGTGAACACTGTAGAAATATCAAAAAAGGCTACCTGAATCACTCAGTCTCCAAACACTTTTGTACACATAACAACGACATAAGACACCTTAAATGCATCGGCATAAAAAAATGTATAATACCATGGAGAGGTGGTAACATTAAGAACATATTAGGTAAAGCTGAGATGGAATGGGTTTTTAATCTCAAAACTCTTACCCCATCTGGTTTAAATGTTGATTTTGACCTGTTTAATTTTATTTAAATTCCTATATACAACCCTTATCTACATGCTTTTATTCTTTATGTCTGGACCTAACCAACCCTCATAATAATAATAATCTTTTAAGTTTTATTTTTTCATCTATGCCTTTCCATTTATGTATCTTGTATTCTGTGTAATCTTTTATTTAATTTTATTTTTATTTTATCTATTATTTTCATTTAACATCTGTATTATTACTCTGGGGTATAATATAACCCCTATTTAAATCATTATGTTTGGAATTATATTACCCCCTTTTCATGCATACTCCATTTACATATATCTCTGTATCTCTGTACCTTTAAACCATCTATTTTTTTTTTGTTCTTTTAATGAACTTTAATCAAACCCTTTTTTTTTGTTCTTTTAATGAACTTTAATCAAACCCTTTTTTTTTGTTCTTTTAATGAACTTTAATCAAACTTTTATTTTTTTTTTTAACTTTAATCAAACAACTTTTTTTTTTTTTTCTTCCTTTCTTTCTCTTTAAAAACAACTTTCTCACTCTAGTTTTCACATTTAAATAATTTAAATGGACTCATCACCTTTATAACATCACTCCCATACTCTTGAATCCTAATTTTGAAAAGTGATTTTAAAAATTGTCTCTGATTGGCCAATTACACTTTTGGCGCAATTTTCAAATTAACATAGCCCTATTTAAACAACCCCTGCCAGGTTACTACTTTTATCCCATTCTGAAGAAGCCACTTATGGTGAAACGCGTTTATGGTTATTAATTCTGTATTTTACTGTGTATTTTAGATCAATAAAAGTTTTTTGGCTACTTTATTGTACCAATCCTCTTTTTATTGCACTCTTTATGCACTTTAAACAACTTTTGTTTTTACCTATTCCTGGCATTTTAACCTTTCCTGGTTACTTTTACTTCCATTGGCAATTTTAAAGTTCCAGTACTCCAAGAAATCCTAGGTGGGGATCATACCACCGGCGCCTATCCATAGAGCAGTACCTCTGCTCTATCTTTGTGAGTATTATTTTATTTTCTCTACTACTCTCTTAACCTATCACAATTGAGAGCACTATTGCTGCTTTTTATTCTTCTATATTGGAGCCTTGGATCACCAGACGGTGCTGACGGACGTATCGCCGCTACATATCCTATAAGCGGGGATTATACCGCTGTACGCTATCCACACCAGAGCTGGCCATAGCTCCCTCAAATGTGAGTTTTTTACCTCTTCTTATCTGCACATTGAACCACATCAAAATTGAGAGCACTATTGTTGCTTTCTGTCTTTCTTTTTCGAGCTCTGGACTACCAGACGGTGCTGACGGAGACCCCTCCCTACATATCCCATAAGCGGGGATTATACCGCTGTACGCAATCCACACCAGAGCTGGCCATAGCTCTCCTGAATGTGAGTTCTTTACTTTTTGTTACCTATCACACCCTGAACTTTCATACTATACCATTAGTCGCCTCTACCTCTCTTGTATTTACATATACGGAACGGTCTACACCAGACGCATCCACAGAGGAACTCTATCAAGTATCCTAGACCATCTATTGGCACCCTAGCAATACTTTACTGGACTATCTACCCTTATTTGGCGCAGCCCTTCCATATCTTTTTGTATCTATCCACCGAAGGACCCGAGGGGTTTTCCTTCATTTGGGTTGCTGCCTACCTTGACTAATTTTGTGATTACTAGCGCTGAATTCTTTTTGTGTTTATCATTAGTGAAGATGCCTAGGCCCAATATTAAAGGGACACTCCACTGTCCAAGTATAAACAAAAAATATAAGTTAATTAATAATCAAAAACACTGTTTAGGAAATATACCAAATAAAAACATGCATGCATTTAATTATGCATTTTTTCTCATTGGTGGTTACATTTAAAATCAGCTTTCAAAAGCTGCAGATCTCTTGTCTGCAGCCTTTGTAAGCCATCCCCTTCTAAACCAGACTTTTTGTGGCTGTCCAATCAGACTTCAATAAGCTCAATAAAATGTCTTTGCGAGGCAGGTGCTCTGGGCAATTGCTCCCTTCTAAGTTTAGCTTCACTGAGCTAAACAAACCAGGAAGTTAAAGGGCCTCTTGTCTGATTGACAACCAGGGTGGTTTATTTATTCCATTGAAATCTGCACTATTTGTAAAATGGAAAGAGAGGATACACACTTTGCAGATAGAGCGTTTCAGCAAACTAAGGTGCTATAGAGGTCTGGAGTGTTTCTTCACCCTATATGCATTAGGTTCCAGTTTAATACAGCTAGTGTTTTTGAGTGTTCCCTGCCTGAGGCTACATCTACAAATATGTGCCAGTCCATTACATAGCATTGCTGGCTCTATTAGTAACCCTATAGTTTTAAAATGTATTGTTAATCCCCTTGGCACCATCAGCATCTGTCACACCCTAAATCAAGTTGGGCTACACTTTGAAAGGATTACTCATTCTTAGCGAGAAGATGTAGGGGATATATATGGCTTGATTAACATTCTTGAACTTGGTAAGTATGAGACTCAGCACCAATGGAAGTGGTCCTACTTGTAACTATTCATATGCCTCTAAGATTTTAATAATGATGATTTTATTCTTGATTCAATTTAAGTTAATTCCTGATATGTGCCTTTCCTTAAACTAATTTCACTTATAACTGCTTTTTAGTACCGAAGGTATTGTATCCATCATTAACAATAATTTACAATTCATTTAGTGATCTGTTAAGAAGGAATGGAAAGCTAAAATCTTAATTCTGTTTATAACAGTGTGTTACCTTTAACATTCTCAACTGGATGACGCTAATCTCATTACAGTTTAATTGTCTCCATTTCTGAAATGCTTGCAACAGGGTTGAACTGATTGCATCAAACTGTTGATAAATTCCAGGTTATTTTAAAAATTTTATATTTTGCATTTGCATGATCATAATAGAAGTTCAGTTAAGTTGTATTCTTAACCTTCTGCTTATAATTATTGCTTGAACAAACCTTAAAAAAGAACAGTACGAAACAAACACTATATACAGTATAACCTAACAAGCACTATAACCTATACACTTTGGTCAGTTTATATTACCTATGCTCTCAAATGTTCTAATCTCATTAATGATATAAACATAGAGAGCTGAGGAACTGTTAAAGGTTTCATAACTACTTCATATCGTTTAAGTGGTTTTGATGCCTGGGGTCGCCTTGTGCCATCGAACTGTTAAATGTAAAGCTGTTTTTTATTGATTTCATTCTGATTTGATTTGGCCCCTACTCAAGACCAGCAATTTGAGGCAGTGACCGCCTCAGTATGTCTAATATGAGTATAATTTCTGCCTTAGGTACACTGTCCAGAGGCTGGTGGACCCATGGTAGACTGGAACCCTCATTCAGGGTCAAACTGATCGAAAACAGTTTAGCATTGAACAGTAAAATGGCGCCAGTGGACTTCATGCTTCATCACCACTACAATGAGATGAAGTGGTTATGGTGCCTAGAGTGCCTCTTTAGATGACAATATTTTGTATAATTTATTTATGATGCATGTTCATATAGCTAATAGCTAACTGTTATACAATAGCTTAGGCATTGCATTCTGGGAAATCCGTAACGCAGGTGTGACCAAACTGTAGTTCTTCCGCTAGGAACTTCCATCACTGTTTCTAGTGGTTATTCAATAAAAGCACAAACATTCCATGTTGGAGATAATCCTGAACTAGGACTCTGTGTAGAGCAACAGACTGGCCACAGCTGGGGGAAAAAAAACATTGTTTCTCTTGTTGTTGTAATGCTAACTTGGTTTCTGGGTTATTTGAAAATAGAATCGAGCTTCGTTCCCTTGGAAAGATCAATAAAGGAGATGAGCTCAGTGTGTCCTACATCGATTTCCTAAATCTCACCGAAGACAGACAGAAACAGCTAAAGAAACAATATTACTTTGACTGCACATGCGAACACTGTACCAAAAAGATCAAGGATGACTTGCTCTTGGCAGTGACTGAAGGCGACCAAAAGGTAACCACATAAGTACTACTTTAACACACAATTGCTGTTTTATAATAATGACTTTTTATTGTTATTATTCATATTTTGATTTAGATAACAGCCCATTAAAAAATTGACATTTGTACCATGCGATATTGTGTGTTTCGCTTTTCGGACTCCAGTTAACATACATTTCAGCAAACAAAAGTTTGTGAACCTATTGTTCCTGGATTGGTGTAGCGTCAAATGGAACCTCTGAACCATGCCTTGCTCAGAAATACTGCAACTCTCAATTCTTCGAATGCTACATCCTCTTGTTAAAACAGTTACAGCCAGCAATGCCATCTTACTTTAACTGTTAGGGTTCTAATAGCAGATAGCAAAGAGATCTACAGAGATCAGCTAGGCCAGAGCCTATTCCTTTACTGTAAATCCACTTCAAAGGGTTACCTGAAGCACCATGACCATTTCAATGTTTTGAAGTGATCATGGTGTCTGGAGTCTGTACGTGCAGCTTTTTGTACTATCAAACGCAGTCAGAGTTATAACTCCGCCTCTAGCATCATCATTGGGGGTCTCATAAGCCATCCTTAGAACAAAAGTGAGCTATAAAGGGATACTATAGTGCTAGGAATAC